GGAGCTAATTGTTCAAAACTTCGAACTCATCTGATTATACTCGGAAGTTACTTCTCTCTCCTGAAAGCGCCAACCAAACACGGCTCTCCACTCCGAAGACGATAAACCATAAAACTCCAAATCTCAATTCTCACCGCTTCACATTATTATAATTCTATTTCCCTTCATTTTCACTTTTATCAAAAACCAAGAAGTACGGAAAGAAGCAGAGAGAGAGAGCGAGAGTGAGCAGATCATTCAATGGCGAGACACGAGAATCTACCGGTGCCCATTTACACTACCCTTGAACCCGTTTACGGAACCGAATCCCAGCTGGAAGAAGCGGAGCTCCGATTCAATCAGTTGAAATCCAAATTCATTGAATTCTTCGGCCACTCCCCTGATATCTACGCCCGATCACCAGGTTAAATTTTCTGGTTACATTCATGAAAATCATGCATATGTATCTACACGCTTAATTCGATTTGCCGGAAATTACTGACCATCTTTTGGAATTGTTGGTATCGTTGTTGGTGAAATGTTGCATCGCATAATTTGGGTTGGCTAAATGGATTTCTATATTTGGATTTGTTGACTGTAAAAATTTTGAGTGGTTATTTTGCAGGGAGGGTGAATTTGATTGGGGAGCACATAGACTATGAAGGCTATTCAGTGTTGCCTATGGCGATCAGGCAAGATACCATTGTGGCAATACGAAAACATGACGTGGATGAGGATAAGGTTATTCGCATCGGGAATGTGAATTGTGATAAGTACTCGATGTGTACTTACCCTGTCGATCCGGAACAGGTATAATGATACTACTCTATCCAGGTCTACATACATATTCAAGAGTTTATTAGGCAGAAAAAAAAGTAATTTTAACGCGTTTTAATGTTTTTAGTTTTGAGGATTTGATTTTTTAAATGGAATTTTCAGCATTTTGTAATTATGAATTTTCCTTGTTTGCTTCTATTTGATTTTACTCTGTATTGTGATTTTGGTCATTTTAGAATAAATTTTAAAATTTGTCATAAGGATTTTGTATAAATAATTTTCACAGAAATGGTAATTCACTCTGTTTGGGAGCACATGCGAATAAGATATCTTTAGAATGGTAAAATATTTAATGGGTGCAATCCTGCAATGTCCTTTGTGTAAGTAGAAACTGTGTGTACATTACATTTAAAAGAAAGTAACTTGGATCAGAGGCAACTGAATAGATGTTCTCAATTCTTTAAAAATCTAACGTGGCATGTTAAAACTTGAGTTGATTTTATCTTGCAGGAAATTGATTTGAAGAATCACAAATGGGGTCACTATTTCATTTGCGGGTAAGAAATTAATCCGCTATAGTTCTTGAACATATACTGGAGTAATATGCTTGTGTATATCTTAATTGATCTCAACTCACGGGCAAACTGATGGCGGCGGTCCATTTCTTGGTATTAAGTCAACATTTGAAAAATGGCTTGCACTGTTTTACAATTGTCATTGCCAAATATCGATTTTGCAGGTATAAAGGCTTCTACGAGTATGCCAAATCAAAAGGGATGAGTGTTGGTGAACCCTTAGGACTTGATATCATGGTTGATGGCATAGTTCCAACAGGTATGTGACTCGTCCAGTTAATTGTTTTAATCGAAGCCTAGCAGTTAGCCTGGCACCACATTCTCGAATTGAGAGGAGGATTTTGACTGATTTTGTTATTTCATTTTTATGTCATAACTTTTTATCATGTAGGGTCTGGACTATCCAGCTCTGCAGCATTTGTTTGCTCTTCTACAATTGCCTTAATGGCTGCATTTGGTATGAACTTCCCCAAGGTATCATGACCCTTTGCTCACATAAATCAGATCCAAGGCATTGATTTACATAAAATATTACATATCCTGATATCAGTTCTCTGCTTTTTGTTTTTATTGCGAAGGAGCACAGGATTGAAGTGGTTTAAGAAATTTTTGTTTTCTTAATTTCTGATTCCGTTTTCGTAAAATTGTACAGAAAGAACTTGCCCAACTTACTTGTGAATGTGAAAGACACATTGGCACCCAATCCGGGGGAATGGACCAGGTACTTTAAATTCTTCCTGTAGTTTCTAGGAATCATGTGTTCTGAAATTTCTAGAAACATTTTAAAGAATTTTTAGACTGAAATGGTGGTTAAACTTGTTATTATCTCTTCACTTAAAGTTCGCTCGTGTATTCTATAATGTTTGTTTCCTGTAATCCCTGGTAATATTTGTTATATCGGTGAAGTTCTTTCTTTTTTATGATCTTTAATGTCAAGTCCCACAACTTTGAAATAATTTAATCGCTTCATTTGACAGGCGATCTCTGTGATGGCTCAATCGGGCTTTGCAGAGCTCATCGATTTTAACCCCATTCGTGCAACTGACGTACGACTCCCTAGTGGTGGAACCTTTATCATAGCTCATTCATTGGCTGAATCTCAGAAAGCCGTTACTGCTGCAACTAATTACAATAACAGAGTTGTTGAATGCCGCTTAGCTGCTGTAAGTGACTTCACCTCCACATTCTTGACATAGTTTCTATGTGCTGGATGATACATTTCTACGTTCAGGAAGGTGATGGTGTTGCACATTATATAATTTTGGGTTCTAAAGCTGCTCTTATTCTTTTTTATTTTTTGTCGCCCTTTTTTTATAAAAAGCTGATTGTTGGAGTATATCAGATTGTACTAGCGATAAAGCTTGGTATGAAACCTCAAGAGGCGCTGAACACAATCAAGACACTTTCAGATGTTGAAGAACAGTGTGTATCATTTGCATCTACTCATGGATCTTCTGACCCAATCCTCGCTGTCAACGTATGTATTTATTTAGAACTTATTTTTCATTGAAGATTGTGGAGCGACTATTTTCTAAAAGCCAAGCACATGCATATTTTTGTTATATCTCTGCATTTTTGACACCATGGTTTGGTTCTTTTATTTGCGAGCATTGTTATATGCCTTATTTGATGGTTTAATTGATCTTGGATGTTCATACATGTCTGTTGCAAGTGTCATGTTGTAGTGGTTTCTGGCATTACTGCAGGAATTTTTGAACGAGGAACCATATAGTGCTGAAGATATCGAGAAAGTCACTGAAGAAAAGCTTGAAGCTATTTTTTCCAATTCTTCTTCTTCCTTGGACGTGCTAAGAGCAGCTAAGCATTTTAAGTTGCACCAGGTGATTTTCTGTTCAATTTAGACATATTGATGTTTCAATGGCATCTGGATATATAATTTTTTATCCTTCTTATTTTCTGGTTTATATTAGTTGGATGCTGGGAGTTAGGTTGTTTCAGCAACAATAATGTTTTTTTCCTTCTTTTAATCACCGTGAATTTGGCGGTCTGTCCTTAAAATCAGGGTTTTGTTGTGCTTTTAGTTGTATTGGTTGTATTTTATTTTTGTTCTTTTACCAATGCATGGTCTTGATTTTTTCTTAGTGTTCAATTTTCTGTCTCTGCCAGTTACTTTTATAACCCACAAAATGCAAGAGAAATTGCAATTAAGTTAGTGCAACCAAATCTTGCGCAACTTTTGGAAATTTGATTGTTTCTCCCAATGGCCAATGCGATACATATTTGCATGCATTTCTCTAGTTGAAATGATCTAGCCTCTGTTTGGCAAATTTATAAATTATTAATAAATGGTTGAACTTCATTTTCAACCCCACATTCCAATGGACCACAAGTAATATCCACTTATTCACCACTCACTTTATCTATCTATAAATTAAACTGTATATACATTTTTTCCCAAACAGAGGCCTAGTAATTTCTTTAAATCAATTTTCAGAGAGCTGCTCATGTGTACTCCGAAGCGAAGCGCGTACATGCTTTCAAAGATGCTGTATCATCAAATTCAAGGTGAGTCGGTATTTGATCAATTGAATATTTTAATGTTTGTCATTAATGGTTATATTTGTGTATCTCTGATGAATCCTTCATTTTAAGTAGACTTTAACATAATAAATATAGGACTTCCATTTTAGGTGTTTTTTTAACATAGCAAATTTACATCTTCACATTTTAATACCGCCTCAGTGGTTAGTAGATGATGAATGATTGGAACATCCAGTATTATTTTGTCCTTAGCTTCCAATTCACAGCACACTGTTCCCTGAAATTCTAATAGCCTCTTAGAATTCAATTTTCTTTCTCCGTAAAATTAATAATGTGGAAAAGCCCTGTACTAGTTTCACTCTATAATACTTTAAACTTGTAACATTTCTGGAAGTTGTTATTGCAGTGAAGAAGACACGCTGAAGCAGCTTGGTGACCTTATGAATGACAGCCACTATAGCTGCAGCGTACTATACGAGTGCAGGTATATAATCAATCTTCTCACTGTTATGCATTGGGATCGTGTGATTTGGACGATACTTATGATGATTTTTCGAACACGGTTATTTAGCCCGTGTTTGGACTCCATAAAATGTGTTTATGGGGAAATGTATTTTGGAATAGTGATTTTTTTGAAAATGTGGTTAAAAAAGAAGGAAAAGTTTTTGATTTACGTGTAATATTATTTTATTAGTGAATGTATGGTTAAAAAAAAGAGAAAAAAATGTATTTTGAATAAAATGGAGCCCAAATGGGGGCTTAGTATATTTTTACTATCAATGGCTGAGTTAATAAACGGTAAACAAAGGTTTATCTTGAGCCTCCATTCCTGGCTAAAGATAAAAAGAAAACTTTTTCCCATATTGAATACGAAAAATAAATTCAGTCTTATTGGGGCGGCTATGTGAATCCTTTTTTCACTACTCCGTTTTCTCATTTCGAATACTTTTGACAAATGCTTCATTTTGACTTGGCTAAGCTTAAAACGTTCACATCTATAGTAAATAAGTAAGTTTTTTAAATAAATTATTATTTTTATTGGTCAAAGTTTGAAGTACGCAAGTTACTTGTTTTTTACATTATAGGGTAAAAGTTACTTTCAAAATAACTTTTGTTTTAAATAAGAACAGTGTGTGTTATTTACTTGTATTTAAGTTTTGCCAACCATGCTATTTATATATACTTATTAGTGTTGCTCACGCACTCACATAATCAGCTGCCCGGAGTTGGAAGAACTTGTAAAGATTTGTCGAGATAATGGTGCTTTTGGGGCAAGGCTTACAGGAGCTGGATGGGGTGGTTGTGTTGTTGCCTTGGTGAAGGAGAATGCCGTTCCCCAATTTATCCTGAACTTGAAGGTTAGTTTACCATGATTTTACGTGTAAGTGATTGGATATTGATAACTTTCCTTTATTTTTCCAGGAGCAGTTTTTTCAATCAAGAATCGACAGGGGGGTGATCAATAAGAAAGATCTTGGCCTCTACATTTTTGCATCGAAGCCATCAAGTGGTGCTGCCATCGTCAAATTTTAACAACGACGAGTGCATTAAGCCGCCTATGTTTGGCAGAAATGCGCATGTTGTAGTTTTACTTGCACGGGATAATTACTTGGCATGTCCAGTCGAAAGATACAGATTAACTGTGTTTTCTTGGGAACTTGCTGGTATAATAATTTGCTCATTTTATGAACCTAACTCCAAGTGTGAGTTTTGTTGTGATCGTGATGCAACATTTTAGTTTATAACTTGATTTGTATGGTAGTTTTTGGTACAATTCTCTGGGCATGACTAGTTCTCAAATTTTAAAAGTTGTCCTAATCTTTTCATCGATTAATTTTAGAATTTTAAATCTTATTTCTGAACCTGTAACTATATGAAGACGAGAAATTATTTGGAAATTGACACAAATAGCACTATGTACGCTCTTTTTAACACTACATTAATAAGTGCTTGTTTGGTAGGAATTTTTGGAGGAAGAATTGATTTTTGAATAGTGATATGATGGGAAATGTGTGGTTGAAAAAGAAGAAAAAATTATTGATGTGATGGAAAAATTATTTTATTGAAGAANTTATTTTATTGAAAAATGTGTGGTAGAAAATGAGAATTGATTTTAGAATCAATTCTCAAATAAAAAACAAACACCACCTAAGTGAAACCCCTAATTTTTATGTTATTTATATTTTTTTCAAAAATAATATTATTCATCATCATAAGCATCGATGTGACATCCAAATGGCTTTGATTGATTAGCCATCTTAAAATGGTATCACCTAGGGCTGGGCAAGATAACTATAAACGGATCAATCCAGGGTTTTGGGTTAGGAATTAAAACCCAATTCAATCAGTCTAACCCAACCTGATGAATTAAAAAAATAATACTTAAAATGGAAAAATCAAAATAGACAAAATAGTGGAGACAAGAGAATGACTTGGAATGTAAAAGTCATTTTTTTTTTAAATAGGTTGACTGACATGAATACTATGTACAAATGCAAAGTTATTTGACAATAAACTAAAAACAAGGACGTGATGAAATGAATAAATCTCAAATCGTAAAAATGAAAACGCTTCATATTTTCAAACTGATTTATGCATTTTTTTTAAATAAAAAACTCTTTATATATGTTAAAAATAGTGGAGATTTTCAAATGGTTTCAATCTTTAAAAAATTGTTCAAATTCAACAAAAGGTAATTGGATCCAACTTGAATTGGGCCCAACCCCAAACCGACCAACCCAAGCTTAATTGGTTTGGATTGGGTTGGATAAAAGATCGACCCAATTCAACCCAAGCCCGGCCCTAGTATCACCTATTTTTAGCGTGGGCAAAAAAATCGAAAAATCAAACAAATCGATCAAATTGAATGGAGTCGGGTCGGTTTGAATCGATTCGAACAAAAAAATCGATTTAATCGTTTAATTTTAACAATTGAAAAGTTGAGTTGGATTGGTTGCAGTTTAAGCAACCAACCCATCAATTAATCGACATAATCCGTTGATACATTTTTGATCGTCTACGCCACTTCTATCAAAACTTCAAATTCCAAAAGATAAGAAAAGCAAGGAGAAGATTTATTTATTTATTTTTGTAAACTTCAAATTCTGATTACAGCCTTGCTTTCATTTTGGTGTAATTGTTTGTATAAGCAAGTAAATTTTTTAATCCAAAACAGGTAAGTCAATTTTTTTTTTTTTTTTAAATTCGGACCAATGTTCAAATCGACTAACCAACCCAACCCAACACAGCCAAAATCGATTTGTTTTTATTTGGTTCGATTTCAAAAGCTGAATTGGGTCGATTTGAGTTAGAATTTATCCAAATCGACCAAGTCAATTTTGATTTCGAATTGGTCCCAAAATCAACTCAACATGAACTATGCCCAGCCCGATCTATGATTGTAATTTGTAAGCACAATTTTTTTTTCTTTCTAAATTTAATGAATAATATACTAATGAAATTGATTTGATTTGACTTAGGATATGAATTGAACTAAAATAATTGACTGGATAACAAATTTTAGCACATGTTTAGTGGGAATTAAAATCAAAATTTTAATTCAAGTCAAAATCAATAATTTTTAACCACACGTTTTGTATGATTCACAATTTTTCAACCACATATTTCTTCAACTTTTATTAAAATTTATTAAAAATTTAATTTTAATATGAATCAAATACGGGTTCAAAGTAAAAAAAGAATAGAATCAATAATTGGAACAAGATCCAATGGTCCGGAATTGAATGCATTGTCACGTTATACGTGATAAGGGTCCAAACCAGCCCCCCACCAACAAAGCATGAAATTAGCTCTCTTTAATTACACATTTTATTCAAGTCCTGAACAATTGTTTTGTTTGTTTTGTACAACATTGCCACATGCTTTAGGTACCATCAAATCCGTAGAATCCGCTGTGGGTCAGGACGAATTGATACTTGATCGTTCCGTCCCCTTGGGGGTTTTCGGGAGGAGGGTGGGACGGAACGGGACAAATTGAAATATCTCATATTTTTAATTGAATCGTGCTGCACTGCCAGACCAGTAAAAGACCCGACAGTGCAAATGTGAGGTGGGTGTTTAAACAGTTGGGGGGTTTTTTTAATGAGGTGGGTCCACCCAGCTCATGTGAGAGCTTTTGCTCTACCAGACCTTTTACAGGCCTGGTAGAGCAGGTTAATTCTTTTTTATTTCATTCATTTATTATCTTAAAAGAAATTACAATTGGCAACTAAATAATTGAGCTAAGAAATATAGAAGAAATAGATTTTGTAATGGACTATAAACATAAAAGGAATAGATCAGATCACGACACAAGAAATTATTAGATAATTTTAATTAAAGAATAAAATAAAATAAAAAATCAAAATTCGATCAAAATTTTTTGCTTATCTCTAGAAGAGATTTACCACAGTATTAAAATAAAGAAAAATTCGAGATTTGTGAGTCGCTTTTAATATCTAATCATGAAAAATGAAATCCACGTTGTACATGAAAGTGAAAATTCATGTTGATGAAAATTTATTTAAGTAAATAGGTGGTGTGATATTATTAGTTATTTGAAAACTAATTTTAAAATAACTTCTTATTTCGAAAGTGCTTTTAAATGAAATTATATTGAATTAGCTTTTTTTTCTAAAAATTTTCCTTGCTAAAAGAAACATTTACATAAAATTAAATAAGTGGGTTTGAAAGTAGCTTTTGACTTTTCAAATACTATGTCAAGCGGTTATATTTATAAAAAATGAGAATTGTTATTTAGTAGTACTTGTGTTTAATATCGGTTTAAGTGGCAACATTAGTGATATTAAATTATAGATTCAATTAAATGAATCATATAATTTCACATTTAATTGAATTTATCACATAATGTCACATAGATTGATATTCTAATAGTACTGACGTCAGATAACATTATTCCATAAAAAAAAAAAAAAGGCTTTAAGATGTAATGAAATGTTTGGTGAAAAAATGGAATCATGCATCAAAAGAGAGGGAACAAAATATTTTTGGCTCCGTTTGATTGGCGGAGTTTTTCAGGGAAGTAGGAAACTATTTTCTTACTTTCACTTTTTTGACTGTTTGATATGTGAAATTTTTCACGGAAAATGTTTTCCTCCCTTTTTTTAGGTACAATCCTTCGATGCACTAATGGTGGAAAATGTTTTCCCACCTAATAGGTGGGAAAACATTTTCCACCATT